TGAGATTAGTGTTCTTATAAAAAAGTCATCCCAGAGATGACTTGGCACCTTGATCTTGAACTTCCCAGCCTCCAGAACTGTAAGAAATAAATTTCTGCTGTTTATATACCATCCAGCGTGTACTCTGTTATAATAGCCCAGATGGATTAAGATATCTGCTAAAATATAAAGACAATCAAGAATTTCTAATAAAATATTAAGTTATCTTTACAAACAATAAAATGTATTCTAGTATCTGTTATCTTTGAGGCTTAGTGTTGCCCAGGAATTTAGATTATGACCTATATCCTGCTTTTTTTCCCCAGGCACTGGGCTGGTCCTAGGGATGTAGAGATAGGTAAGATCTTGTCTTCAAGGAGCTGGCAGACTAGCAGGTTTGTAGGAAATAAAAAACCGACAAAAACAACAACAACAGCAAACTAACACATGATAAAAATGGCAAAGGACACACATGACAGAGGAGAGGGAAAGGGCTGACTCTGCCTTGAAGGACTAGGAAAGCTTCAGAAACAGAGTAGTTCCAGCAGAGGGAAGAACAGGTACAAAGGAACTAGTGGTCACTGCTCTGAAGCAGAGGGTGGTGGACACAGCTGAACAGGTGGGCAAAAGTAAGGGCAGCACCAGGTCTGCCCTTTACACTAAGGAGTCCAGTCTCGATCCTGAGGAGTTTTAGGCAAAGGAATAGCAAACCCAGATACGCATTTTGGAAGATCACATATTTTTTTGAATCGGGTTGGTAACCTTTTCTGCAAAGGAAGAAAAGGAAAATATTTTAGGCTTTGTAGGCCACATATGACTCTGTCACTAACTTTTGTTTGCTTTTAAATATCCTTTTTTTAATTTTTTCAGAGACAGCAAACCTGAGGGGCTGGGTGACAGGCAGGGGGAGAGGGAGAAAGGGAATCTTGAGCAGGCTCCACGCCCAGCATGAGCCCAATACGGGGCTCGATCTCATGACCCTGAGATCATTACCTGAGCAGGAATCAAGAGTTGGTCGCTCAACCAACTGAGCCACCCAGGCAACCCTAAACATCCTTTTAAAAATGTAAAAACACTTCTTAGCTTGCAGGTCATACAAAAATGGCTATAGGCCCAGTAGTTTGCCAACCTTTGAATCTGAATTCTGAATCAAGGAATCAGAATTAATTTAGGATGATGTGACAATGGCACTGCGGCTATGTTAGAAGTTTCTATTTTTTTTTCTTCTTTTTTGGTAGACTGAAGTACGCCAGGATGAAATGGCATGATGTCTGAAATTTCCTTTAAAATTCTTTAATAAAGGGGTGCCTGGGTAGCCCAGTCAGTTAAGCATCTGCCTTCCGCTCAGGTCATGATCATATGGTTCCTGGGTCAAGCCCCACATCAGGCTCCCTGCTCAGCAGGAAGTCTGCTTCTCCCACTCCCTCTGCCTCTTCCCCTGGCTCACATACACTCATGCGTGCGCTCGCTCTCTCTGTGTCAAATAAATAAGTAAATGAGATAAGTAAATAAATAAAATCTTTAAAAAAATGTTTTAAAAATAAATAAAATAAACAAAATCTTTAAAAAAATTTTAAATAATAAAGAAAAAATAAAAAGGGAAAGGTGAGACAAATGCAGCAGAATCATAGTAATTATTGAATCTGAGCTATGGGTGCATGGGGTTCATTGTATTATTTTACTTTCCTGTGTGTTTAAATTTTTTCCTAATAAAAAATAAAAGAAATAATGATCACTCATACTAGCTGCAGTGAAATGAATTGAAGAGAAAACGGAGTCCTGGAGTCTGGAAGAGGTTATTATAAGCCAATCAAGACTGACGTGCCCTATCAAAACACCAGCAGCATTTTTCACAGAGCTACAACAAATAATCCTAAAATTTGTATGGAATCAGAAAAGACCCTGAATAAACAAAGCAACCTTGAAAAAGAAAAGCAAAGCTGGAGGTATCACAATTCCGGACTTCAAGGTATATTAAAAACCTCCAGTGAATAAAAACAGTAGGGTACTGGCACAAAAACAGACACATAAGACCAATGGACCAGAATACAAAACCCAGAAATGAACCCCAAATTATATGGTCAATTAATCTTTGACAAAGCAGGAAAGAATATCCAATGGGAAAAGACAGTCTCTTCAACAAATGGTATTGGGAAAACTAGCCAGCAACATGCAAAGAATGAAACTGGACCACTTTCTTACAACATACACAAAAATAAATTCAAAATGGATGAGGCGTCTGGATGGCTCAGGTGGTTAAGCATCTTGATTCTTGATTTTGGCTCCGGTCATGATCTCAGGGTCATGAGATGGAGCCCGTGTCAGGCTCCCTGCTCAGCTCGCTACTCAGGGAGTCTGCCTGAGATTCTCTCTTCCTCTGCCCCTCCCTGCTTTTATGTGTGTGCTCTCTCTCTCTAAAATAAATAAATATTTTTTTAAAAAATGGATAAAAGACCTAAATACGAGACCTGAAACCATAACAATCCTAGATGAGAACACACATAGTAATTTCTTTGACATCAGCCAGAGCAACTTCTTTCTCAGTATGTCTCCTAAGGCAAGGGAGACAAAAGCAGAAAGAAACAATTGGGACTTCATCAAAATAAAAACCTTCTGCACAGGGATGGAAATAATCAATAAAACTAAAAGGCAACCTACAGAATGAAAGATGACATTTGCAAATGACATATCTGATAAAGGGTTAGTATCCAAAATATATCAAGAACTTATAAAATTCAACACCCCAAAAACGAATAATCCAATTAGAAAATGGGCAGAAGAGATGAAGAGACATTTCTCCAAAGGAGACACAGATGGCCAACAGACACACAAAAAAATGCTCAACATCACTCATCAACAGGGAAAGACAAATCAACAGTACAATGAGATACCACCCTACACCTGCCAGAATGGCTAAAATTAACAATACAAGAAACAATAGGTGCTGGTGAGGATACAGAAAAAGGGGAACCCTCCTCCTGCACTGTTGGTGGGAATGTAAGCTGGTACAGCCAGTGTGGAAAACAGGATGGAGGTCCCTCAAAAAGGTAAAAGTAGAGCTACCCTATGACCCAGCAATTGCAATGCTAGGTATTTACCCCCAAAGCTACAAAAATAGTGATTTGAAGGGGCACATACACCCCAATGTTTATAGTAGTATCATTTACCACAGCTGAGACACAGAAACAGTTCAAGTGTCTGTCAACTGATGAATAAAGAAGTGGTGTGTGTGTGTGTATATATGCGTACGTACGCGCATGCGCGCGCGCACACACACACACCATGGAATATTACTCAGCCACAAAATAAAGAATGAAATCTTGTCATATTCAAGGACACAGATGGACCTAAAGTATTACGCTAAGTGAAATAAGTCAGTCAGAGAAAGACAAATACCGTATGAATTCACTCATATGTAAAATTTAAGAAACAGAACAAATGAGTAAAAGGAAAAAAAAAAAAAAGAGAGAGAGAGAGAGAAGCAAACCAAAAAACAGACTCTTAACTCCAGAGAACAAACTGATGTTTCCAGAGGGAAAGTAGCTGTGGGATGAAGGGGGGGATAGGTGATGGGGATTAAGGAAATCGCTGGTTGTGATGAGCACTGGGCTTTGTATGGAAGTGCTGAATCACTATACTGTGCACCTGAAACTAGTATTATACTCTATGTCAACTCACTGGAATTTTATTTTTTATTATGTTATGTTAGTCACCATACAGTACAGCATTCGTTTTTGATGTAGTGGTCCATGATCCATTGTTTGCATATAACTAACTGGAATTTAAAAAAACAACTTAAACAAAAAGGGGGGTGCCTGGGTGGCTCAGTTAGTTAAGCATCTGCCTGCCACTCAGTTCATGATCCCAGGGTCATGGGTTCGAGCCCACATCAGACTCCCTGCTCTGCAGGAAGCCTGCTTCTCCCTCTCAGGCTGCCCTTGCTTGTGTTCCCTCTCTCACTATCTTTCTTTGTCAAACAAATAAAATCTTAAAAAAAAAAAAAAAAAAAAGACTGATATGTTGGCTAAGTCACACATCCCGGATGACACAAGAAAACAATCACTCCGAAAGCACAACTTCTGTATAGCGCAGACTGGAAAGGTTTAATTTTTTAGAAGTTCTACAAGCTGGATGGGAAACTGCTCTTAACTCCTCTCTAGTTATATTATCTAGTTATATATATCTATATATATATACTATTATCTAGTTATATATATCTCTAGTTATCAGTAGAAAGCATGACCCAACAGCCAGCTTTGGAATGCCATCCACTCCTTCCAAATTACACATGTTCCACCACCTCTGGACACCTCTGTGCCTGTTGTTCATGTTCTACTATCAATGCCCCAAAAGCCTGTGTACAGAGTAAGAACCTGCCCCTCATTCTTGCTGTCCGGGGGTTTGGGCTTGGGACGATAAGCGGGGGCAAACCTTCTCACTTTGCACAGGCATCCGCTTATATATTTTAAACAACTGGGCGGTGTGACTACTCAACAGGTTAGCCCACAGGAGTCAGGAGCCAATTCTCCCCAGCCTGGACAACCCCTAGGAGAGCTGTGGCTCACTCTGGCCGAAAAGCCCTGCCATTCACAGGCTGCAACAAGCAACACATTGGCAGCTACTCCGTTCCAGACTACCAAACACACTCTACAAGTCAACCTGCCGTCAAGGGTGACCCCTGGGTTCTGTACCTTAAGTTCTTGGATGTCCCATTTGAACTGGAAGCGACCAGAGAAAGAAAATGAAAAAATACGGCGTGTGGGCACACAACGCTTACTAATTCAGAAGGAAGGATACCGAGGACGTTGGAGGATGAGACGGATGAAAGACGGAACCAAGAAGTGAGAGATGTACAGATGAAAAGGGCGAGAATACAGTGTGGGCTGTAGGTGTGACTGCATCTAGCTCAAGAATGCACTACAAATGGTTAACAGGAGTGGGTTCTATTGCTTAAAAGTAGAAATAAGGACTACAGGTGATTTTTCCTTAAAGTGAAAAACGGAAACAGAACATTCCCATACCTGGTAGCGGTGAAGAGATTTCTAGTCATCCTGGGGGAAAAGGTAAGCAAAGGACACTCTGAAAGGGAGGCTGGGAGATTTTCGGAAGCTAAAGGGGCAGAGAAGGGCGGGAAGGCGGTCAGTCACAGAGTCAGTTGGCGAGGCTCGCACACCCGCTCGGCATTATGAACCCAAGCCGGGACGGAGAACCCATCGGCTCTGCTGGTTCTCGGAACACTCGGGGAGCTGTCGCGGTCACGACCGGGCTACTGAACAGCGCATCAGTCACAGGCTGAGCTAGGACAGGACACACACGGCCCTGGTCGACCCCCTTCGCTCTGAGCAAACCCTTGCTGACGCATCCCCTAGGAGCCGCCGAGCGGGCCACCAAAGTAACAGCAAACGGGAAACCGCCCGGAAGGCTCCGAACAGAGCTGAAAACTCACGGAACATTCAGAACATGCAAACAATAGCCAGGCTGCTACCCCAGCGCCGGTTTTGGGTCTGTCTGCTCGATTTCGAAAGCTGCGTTTGTTCGGAGGCTCCTAAAGCACAGTGAGAGGAAGGCAGGCAGGGGACCGGTGCGGCGCACACCCGCCGCCCGAGCGGAGGACCGGGCGCTCGCGCACTGCCGCTGGCCGGGGTCGGCGTCGGTGGGCCGGCTGTGCGCGGACACAGGGGACCGCCCGGGGGTCGGGCTTGGGACGGCGAGCGGGGCCAACCTCGCTCTGCACAGGCATACGCTCATGTGTTTTGAGTATCTGGGCCGCGAGGCTACGCACAGGCGCGCCCCCAGACTTGGAGATCCCCTAACGCAGCACAACCCTCGCGCCCTCCGGAGGTGCCCGGGGCCGCCGGTTCCAGCGCCGGGGAGCGCAGCGCACGCAGCCCCGCACCTCCTCGCCGGCCGCGCGTCCGCGGGCCTCTCGCGCGCTCCCCACCGAGGCCGCTCGGCCGGCGGGTCCTCCGCTGCTCCCCAGGCCAAGGGCAGCTCCCCGGGCCCCGAGCCTGGGCACACCATGCCTGCAACCGTCGGGGAGAAGGGAGGGAGGCGGGGGGGTGCTCGCATCAGGTCCCCCCCCCCCGGGGTCCCTGTAACGCCCACCACGGTCCAGCCCTGGCGCCGAATTTCGCGGCAGGGCGCCCCGAGGGGGAATCCGAAGCTCCCCCGTCCGGCGCTCGCCCCCGACCCGGGAAGCAGCGAACAGCGGAGACGGGACAAGCGCCAGGCCCCATCCTGTCTCCGGACACCGGGCAGCCGCAGCCCGTCCCCGGCCGCTCCCGGACGGCCCGAGCGGGGGCCCACAGCGAGCCCGGTCCGCATCCGGGCCCGCCCCATCCCCCTCGGCCGGCCCGAGATCCTCCCTCCGCTCCGCTCCCCCGGAACGTGCCTCCTCAGTGCGCAGGACGACGGGGGACGCTCCCGCCCTGATCCCGCCCGAGACCCGAGGGGCAGCGGGGACCCGGCCACCAAGAGAAGAGCGTGGCAGGCCAGGGCCGGGGGCGGGAGCGCGGGCGGCCACGGACTCACGTACTGGCTGTGGCGGTGCCGCGAGTGCCCTGCCGCCGGAGGGACAAAAGCGCGGACGGCCCGGCCGGAAGGGCCCACGCCAGCGGCAGGACACTTCCGAGTCCTCTCTGGGAGGCCGGAGGACGGGCTCGATGATCGTTCCGGTCTGGGCACGTGACCCACGGCGCCCGGGGAGGCGTGGGCGCGGAGGGACGTCGGTCGGGGTGCTGCGTCTCGGCCCTTGCCTGGTGTCTGGCTTCGGGCTCCTTCCGGGGAGGTGCGGGCGAGGCGTCCGGGTTGCGGGGACTTTATAGCCCGGGGTGGGGCGTACAGCAAGGCATGGTGGCGGGTGGAGTAACACCGAGAAGCCCAACACTGCAGAGTGAGGCCGTGGGGGCGCCCGCGGGAGGAGGAAGTGGAGCCCACGGTGCTGTGGGCCCGGCCGACCCCTCCGAGAACGCGGCCACCCCAGGCCGCGGAGGGCGCCCAGAGAAGAGCCCGGCCTGCGGGAGCACCCTGGGACCAGACTGCACCCCGGGCTTGGCGCCCCAACGCCCTGCCTGGAAGGACGTTAAGTGATCCTTTTTAAAAAATGAAGTAACACCTAGATTTTTTCAGCTCTTAAGTCTAAGCAATTGCGAAGAACCTGTTTGGGCAGCTGGGAATGCTGACCTGTATTTTTTTTTTTTTTTTACTTTTATTTTTTCAGTGTTCCAGAATTCATTGTTTATGTACCACACCCAGTGCTCCATGCAATAGGGATGATACCTACCACCATGATACCCACCACCAGGCTCACCCAACCCCCAACCCCCTCCCCTCCCAAATCCTCAATTTGTTTCTCAGAGTCCACAGTCTCTCATGGTTCATCTCCCCCTCCGATTTCTCCCAACTCACTTCTCTCCATCTCCCCGTGTCCTCCCTGATATTCCTTATGCTCGGCAAATAAGTGAAACCATATGATAATTGACTCTCTCTGCTTGACTTATTTCACTCAGCATAATCTCTTCCAGTCCCGTCCATGTTGCTACAAAAGTTGGGTATTCATCCTTTCTGATGGAGGCATAATACTCCATAGTGCATATGGACCATATCTTCCTTATCCATTCGTTTGTTGAAGGGCATCTTGGTTCTTTCCACAGTTTGGCGACCGTGGCCATTGCTGTTATGAACATTGGGGTACAGATGGCTCTTCTTTTCACTACATCTGTATCTTTGGGGTAAATACCCAGTAGTACAATTGCAGGGTCATAGGGAAGCTCTTTTTAATTTCTTGAGGAATCTCCACACTGTCTTCCAAAGTGGCTGCACCAACTTGCATTCCTACCAACAGTGTAAGAGGGTTCCCCTTTCTCCACATCCTCCCCAACACACGTTGTTTACTGTCTTGTTAATTTTGGCTATTCTAACTGGTGTAAGGTGGTATCTCAATGTGGTTTTGATTTGAATTTCCTGATGGCTAATGATAATGAATGTTTTTTTCATGTGTCTGTTAGCCATTTTTATGTCTTCTTTGGAGAAGTGTCTGTTCATGTCTTCTGCTCATTTTTGGACATGATTATCTTTTTTGTTTGTTTGTTTAAGATTTTATTTATTTATTTGACAGACAGAGATCACAAGCAGGCAGAGAGAGAGGAGGAAACAGATTCCCTGATGATCAGAGAGCCCGATGTGGGGCTTGATCCCAGGATCCTGGGATCATGACCTGAGTTGAAGGCAGAGGCTTTAACCCACTGAGCCACCCAGGCACCCCATGTTTTTTGAGTCTTGAGTTTGAGGAGTTCTTTATAGATCTTGGATATCAGCTCTTTATCTGTAGTGTCATTTCTGAGTATCTTCTCCCATTCCATAAGTTGCCTCTTGGTTTTGTTGACTGTTTCCTTTGCTGTGCAGAAGCTTTTGACCTTGATGAAGTCCCAAAAGTTCATTTTTGCTTTTGTTTCCTTTGCCTTTGGAGACATGTCTTGAAAGAGGTTGCTGTGGCTGATGTTGAAGAGGTTACCTCTTTCAAGACATGTCTCCAAATGCTGACATTTAAACAAAACTGCTTATTTCAAACATACACAATGGACTCTAAATCCACAATTTAATACTATCTTTTGCTTTTTTTTTTTTTTACTTTATTTATTTATTTGACAGACAGAGATCACAAGTAAGCAGAGAGGCAGGCAGAGAGAGGGGGTGGGGGAAGCAGGCTCCCTGCTGAGCAGAGAGCCTAATGCAGGGCTCGATCCCAGGACCCTGGGATCATGACCTGAGCTGAAGGCAGAGGCTCAACCCACTGAGCCACCCAGGCATCCCTATAATTTGCTTTTTTTTTTTTTTTTTTAATAATTCGCTTTTGACAGAGATTTTACACCATTTGGATTTGAAATGCTGTAAACTTGAACCTTTTTATGTCCCTCAAATATTTTCATTCTCACTAAATGTTAACCTAATGTAATATAGTTTAATGCCTTAAGTTTTATTGTTTAGGATACGTCTCTGTAATGAAATTAGAAGTTTACATTTTTTTCTCACTCAGATGTTCTTTTCTGGATTTTTAGCAAAATTATATATAATTGCTAAATTTTAATATCAGTCCTTAGACAAAGATGAAATGTTTGGAAGCAAACTTTTAATAAGATGGATTTTTAAAAACAGTTCAAGTCATGCAAAGTATTTGGGTGGATTTCACTTCTCACTGGAGTAAGCCCATGTTCAGCATCAATTCTGTGTCTAATTTCACTTTTTATACATGTAGGTGCAGGGTAAATAGAGGGAATAGAAGGCGTTTCCTTGGAGCTATGGGTTCTTGATAACATTTGGCTCCATGCCAGAACTCCAGACATCTCAGAGTGAGTCTGAGCCAGTGTGAGGAGGGGTGTCCTGTGTTAGAGGAGACCAAGACAGCTGGGAGACCCTAGGAAGAAGCAGAGACCCAGGCTCTTCTCAAGCCTTGCAGTTTTAGGCAAAAGCACATGCAGGGATTGAAGTTTGGAAATGGATTCCCCTAGAGCTTCCCCAACAGGTACTCTGGCCAACATGTAACTAGACAGAGCCCTTGAAATGTGACTAGTGCAACTTTTATTCAAATATGCACATGGAGGGGTGCCTGGGTGGTGGCTCAGTTCCCTTAAGCGTGGGACTCTGGTTTTGCTTGGGATCATGATCTCAGGGTTGTGAGATCAAGCCCTGCATGGGGCTCCCTGCTCATCCTGGAGTCTGCTTCTCCTCTCCCTTTCCCTCCCCCCATCCCGTGCATTCTTTCTCTGTCTCTCTAAAATAAATCTTAAATAAGTAAATAGGTACATGTAGGTAATGCCCTCCATATAGGGTTTCTAGCATAGCTCTAGAAGTTGCTTCAGGCAGTCCTCATGACATGCCACCAGAAGAATTCACATGATGTACGGTTGTGGTGTTACTTGCCACTTATGGCAGAGAAGACTGGGTTTTTCTTTCTACGCAGCGAGGTGCCTAATGCTTACGTCCAGATTGGGAGGTTTTCCTCACTGAAGGGTTCTATGTGTGTGGGAGGGATCATTGGGAAGCTACATAAATCATCTTAATTAAAGTGATTTTTTACTTTAGGTGGTAGTTTTTCCTCCATGAGCGTTGTCATACTTCAGGCATCTTTGTTTGGCCTTGTTTCTACACACATAGGCTAGCCTTCTCCAATACCTGTCTCTTCTAGATATCTACAAATCAAAGCAAAGTGTCTAGCCCTGCACTGATCAGTATGCAAGCCATTTTTTTACATGTGGGTATTAAGCACATGAAACGAGAAAAAAAAAGCACATAAAATTTGCCTAGTCTAAATTGAGATGTGCTGTAAATATAAAACCCGCATCTGATATCTAAGACTTAGCAGAAAAAGAGACTGTAAAATAGTATTTTAAAATGTTGATTACATGCTGAAATAATATTTGGGGTTTATAGGGTTAAATAAAATATATCATTAAAATGAATTTTACACATTTCTTTTTATTTTAGGTGTGTTTACCAAAAAATTAGAAATTGTTTATAAGATGGTACAGCTCTAAGAGCCCAAC